CACACACATGCACCCACACACCCACACACAAAGAGGTACAGACACGTGTGTGTGAACGCATTCCTCTTTTCCATGTGTTTCCTTAGTTGCTTACCTTGCCAGTCAGCAGCTCCCAAAGGACGATCCCAAAGCTGAAAACATCAGCTTTGTGGTCATAAGGCCTGTGCTCAATCACCTGAGGACATAACATAAAGCAGTCAAACACACAAACATACACACGAAACACGACGGCGGCATGATCAGCTCATGGCATACATTTCATTTGCCTACACAACACTTCTTAATTCACAGCCTCCGAGCCATGCTCTTTTTTGACTCTCGTTGGTCGCAATGCTGTCATGTATTTGCAATTTCGCACTACCTAACGCATACCGACATTGTAAGAGGCCGCTTTATCTTCAAGCTAAAAGGTATGCAGGTCATTCTGGAGATGATCTACGAAGAGAAATTTATTGATTGCAGTCATGCTTTTCAGCCTGGTAGAGGTTTCGCCACAGCTAGGACTCGCGCGAGCCTCCATGTAGGAATAAAAAAAACACCTAGTTGAATCGTGTATGGTATATCGTCGAATCCGAGGGATGGGTTGTGCGATTGGTCGATCGCATGGCAGGGCGACACCCATGACAGTCTGTATTCGCTTCGTTGGGTATGTTCATTGTGGGTTCTCATCTGCGTTCCTCAGGCGAACGTCAGCTCTGTGTCATGGGTTTGCTTTTTCCAAGGAAAAAAAGAAGCCTGCATGTACATGGGTGCAGAAAGGCAGAAGATGCATGCATCGGGTTTTGTTTTCTTTCACCCTATCTGAGATCTTGAACGTGCCTGCTTCGGGGAGCCCTAATGTGTCTGACGCACCCCGGCGCTGGGACATGCGCGGCACTAGTGCAAGAGAACAGTCAGACGTGTTTTCAGGCACAGTTCCATAATGTTTCTCGCTGAGGATGGTGCCTTTTTCCTGTTTTTTTTTTTTTTGATTGAGAAATCCGACCTTTTATTGAACCACCAATCCAACCGAAGCTAAATTGTCAAACCAAAAACTGCATTTTTCCGAGCCTGCAATCTACAGTGACAGCAAATTAAAGCAGGCGGCAAATGGTAAGTGCCAACAATGTGTGTGACAAAAGGACAGACCCGATATCTCAAGGCGTTGCTCCACCACGTACCAGATGTCCTTTGTGTAATGAATCCGCTGCTAGAACATGGAAAGGCAAAGCTCTACACAATGCTGAAGCTACTTGGCCATGCCACACTACTCACGAATCCGCCCTACTGAGCTGGCAGAGCCGTTACTTTTGTGTTTTTTTTTTCAATTTTCTTTTTGTTTCTTTTTCCCTTCGTCTTTCTTGTTGTTTTCAGAGGGCAACGGCAAAAAAAAAACAAAAGACGAAGGGCAGCAGACTCCAGGTATCACAATTATCTGCCCTGACCAACAGGTTTCCGTCAGTCAGTGTTCCAAGTTCTAACCATACTTGCGGCGCATCCCATGCGCGGGGTCGCGGCACATGAGGCGCAGAGCGCACGCGCATGCAAGCGTGTGCACGTGATGCAGAGCATCACAAAAAAATCTAATTAAAAAAATTGGAAGGACAGGGAGGGGTGGCCAAACATTCCCCTCGCTTCCAAAAATCAGAAAGCAAGAGGGAGAAAAGTCAGTGCCACGCCATACCCCAAAACTGTGGGCACATGTCTATGCATGTGAGTATTCATGTCCTAATTGTGTCCAGCCTCTTTTCCGAAGGGCCCCTACAGCGGATTAGCTAGGACCCCACATGCAGCACAGGTACACTTCAAACTTCCAGTTTGTAAGTGTGGGCCAAGAACATATAGTCTGGATTCGAATTCAGGTCTGTGAATCTCGGTTATGGGTCACTATTTCTTTTTTTTTCTGGTTTTCCTTTTCTTAGAAATGCGTGCAGTGCAGACAGACAAACAAACATCAATGGTTCATCGATAGTTACACAGAGCTAACGCGAACAGTATCAGCAGAATCGCGAAGTATTAGCTAAAGACCGCAAAAGGAGAAGAGAGGAACTCCAATTCGCCATCTCAGTAGCAGACGCTAACCTGGCAGAGGACCCCTCTAGCGAATTCTACCAGGAATTACTAGCTGATACAAAAGAAGAACTAAACGAGTGGAGAAGATGGGAACTGAGGGGTCTGCAAGTACGAGCAAGGATGACTGATTACTCACTTAACGAGTCCATGACCAAATTCTTCTTCTCTAAAATCAAAGCAAACGCAAGGAACAACATGATAGAGGGCCTCAAAGACCCAGCAGAGCAATGGAACATCAAAACAACAGGTCCAGAAATGGTCAGGATAGCCAGAGCATTCTACGCAGATCTATACGAATCAAAGACACCCTCACCTCCGACCAGAGCAAACTTAGCAGCCCACCAACTCATGTTATCCTACCTTGACAAGACGATCTCAACTACCCAAGCGGAAGGCTTGGACAATCCCCTAACCCTAGCCGAGCTAGACATAGCCCTGACTCAGACGGGAAATGACAAAGCCCCGCGGATCGATGGCCTCTCTAAAGAATTTTAGAGCTACTTTTGGCCGACCCTAGGAGAAGACCTGCTCGACTTTTTCAACGACAGCATGCTAAAAGGCGGCCTAAGCAATGAACTGAGTACCAGTGTCATTTCACTACTATATAAGAAGGAAGACGAAGAAGACCTAAAGAAGTACAGACCAATTTCACTGCTCACCACACCTTACAAAATCCTCGCTAAGGCTCTCGCGAACAGAATCTCAAAAGTTCAAAACTAACGAACAAATGCTTCCACATCGACCAAGCAGGCTTCGTCCCGGGCTGATACATACTGGACAACGTGATGGCGCTTAACGAACCAGCAAAAAAGATAACGGAAAAAAGAATGAAGGCTGCAATCTTGTTTTCCGACTTCGAAAAGGCCTAGGACCAAGTCAATTGGGAGTTTCTCCACGCATGCATGGAGAAAATGGGGGTAGACCCGAACTTCAAAAATAGGGTGAAAGTCCTCTACTCAGATGCTACAGGCAGAGTCCAGGTCAATAGGATCCTATCAGAGACCTACCCAATACCTAGATCGGTCAGACAAGGCAACCCTTTACCCCACCTATATTCCTCTTCATTATGGAAGCCATAGCTCCCTTCCTTCGAAAAGATCCATCCATCGACCGCCTCACCGAACGCAACTTCAACCCGTTACACGACTTCGCCCTACCCACTGCACTCATGTTCGCTGACGACGTCACTGTCCTCATTCGCGCCAATAACTGTTCGTTCCAAGCCCTAGTAAGAGCAATGGAAGCCTTCACACTGGCATCAGAAATGAAGGTCAACTGGGGCAAAACTGAAGGTTGGTGGCTTGCAGACGACACCCCTCCCCAGCCATCCGACACCGCCACGCCCATGTCATGGACGACCGGAGAACAAGCACTACGTTTCCTGGGCATCATGGTCAACAAGGAAGGAGTATGGACAGGAATGGGTCAGAACCTAACAGCCAGGGCGATCACCCGCTTGACCCTATGCAAAAATGCTCAGGCCTCATTAATTGGATGAGCGCTTTTAATAAACACGACAATCTTCTCCACACTGTGGTATATGGCATCCATCTGGTCTCCCCCCGATGATGAAATCAAGACGTTAAAAAACAGGGTTAGATGCCACCTGTGGACAGGAAATCCCAACAGGACCACATGTACCAACAGGGTAGCCTGGAACCACATTACAAGGAAACCTCAGGAAGGGGGCCTTTGGGTAATTGATCCCAAACAGGAGTCCATAGCACTGCAGATGAAATGGATTATCAAGATCCTGATCAGAGAATCCATCCCGTGGACCCAGATGGCTCTTGACAGCATCAGAAACCTGGCAGATCTCGCAGGAGAAACCCCGAACATGAGAGGTCTCTACTGGCTCATGGCCAAGGACTGGGCAATCAAATCAGGCAGATCTCGCAGGAGAAACCCTGCAGAGCCCATCACAACCCCCACTCGAAAAACCACCTCATACTGGCGCAGAATGATGCCAAGGAAACACGGCTCACCAGGAAACAGAGAAGAGGTCCTGAGACGACCTCTCTTCTGCAACCCTTGGATCACCGACCCCAGCGGAGCGACATGGACACTACGCATAAAAGACAGAAGATGGCTATCCTGGGTGGAAAAAGGCGTGTGGCAGGTGAAACACATCTGGGCAGAGGACCAAGGACGATGGGCTACAGAACAGGAACTACGAAATGTCTTAAGAGGTTGTCACTCCCTAGCTGAAAACCTAAGATTGATCCAGAAGAGTATCCCAATACTATGGCTCTCCCTCCTAATGGAGGACTTCTCGTGGAAATCCGGGGATTGGGGCATACTCATCTCTCAAACCCAGCCTACTAGAGCATATCGATTCATCTCTCAAACCAACCCACTAAGCTACCATTCTCAATTCTACTCATACCCCATCAATAATCACAGCCTACAGGAGCTGGAAATCTAGAACAAAGATCCCCAGTGCCAGACAATAGAAACCTTCTGACTGAGAAAAGTGAGGGTTTCTAAATTCTAAGGCCAAACCCTGGAAAATCTCCCAACAGGACCTCGACATTTCAGACCTCGAATTCGACCCGAAAGAGTGGGTTTGGAAGCAGGGCAAAACCGGGAGAACGAGAACGATATCTGAATATGATGTCAAATTTGGTTATGAGCTGGGACTACAAACCAAGTATCCGGACCCCAGACTCCAAGGAAAGTGGAGGGAGATCCTGAATATGGACCCCACAGACCCCATTTCCATCCCATGGACGAAGTACCTGTCTATAAGACCGGTCAGAATTTGAAGCATGCAATGGCTCTTGGCGCACGCATCGCTACCGGTCAATCAGTGGCTCCATAAGAGGAGGAAACAGACGAACCCAGACAGCTCTGATCTTTGCAGGCTTTGCACAGACAACACCCCGGAAGATATACCCCACTGCCTCCTGTACTGCACGGAAGCAGCATGGGTATGGAACAAGGTGAACGACCTTTGGTCCCTACTCTTCTCATCACCCCCTCCGCCCACAACTCCCCTTAACATCCTGCTCCTCTCCAACAATACTAAACAATCTCAAAGGTGGCGAGGAAGTTCGGTTTCATCTGCTCAGAAAGCTGGCCCTTCGGGTAATCTGGAAAAGGAGATGCACCAAGACTATCGAAGGTACTGAGGCGGCAAGAGAATAAACGTGGGTTCTACTGCTGGGAATGGTCGAAACCGAGATTCGATCCAAATGGAGGGAGGTGACATCAGCAACGAAAGGCAGACCAGAAAGGACAGCCATAAAGAGACGGGCTTTCATGAGAAACTGGCTTCTACAGGGAGAGATTGCAACTGTGACAGATAACAGATTGATTTGGAAGAAATGGCATAGCACACCGCCACCAAGGATGGTGACCCAGTGATGGGAAAACTGAGATTCTCATCTCATCAGTTTAGACAACTCTCCTCTTTTCTTGCTTTATATGAACCAACCGACAAAAGTCACATTAGATTCTGAGAGGAAAAATGGCAGGGCAAGCTGACAGTCAATCCTCTGGATATGGAGCAATCAATGCTGGTCAGGGTTCCTTCAGCCAGACGGAAGGAAGCGTGAGAGTGTTCACCATGTATCTCAACTTTGACTTGCCGAGGGAAAGGAACCGGACTGACGCTCCCCAGAATGGACATTGTGCCAGGACCATAAGGGCCTGTATCATTAAAAAAAAAAAAAAAAAGAAAAAAAAAAAAAGAAATACGTGCAGTAGCCCTAAGGGCCTCTACTCAACACATGCACAAAAGACGAACCGTATGGCGGCGTATTATTCCACGTTCTGCAGAAGATTCATTCTAATTCTGCACATGTGGTGAGTACTGCAGCCAAGCCCTGAGAATCACGTGCAGAGACCAACAGGGCCTAGCTAAGTGAGCAACCCATAACTGCTGAAACACAGACCTGAATTCGAATCCCGAGTATATATTCGGCCAGCTCAGGCTCTACTTCATATTCACTGCCTACCTCGATTTTGGTGGAGGGTCTGCGCTACATTGCTGCAAGGACCCTTCAGACTGCCTGCATGGGCCCTCTGAGCCGTTTGGACATGAAAGCAGCTGAATACAGAATCTGGGCCACATATGAGAGTATGCCCTCCCGGCGGCCCTTACTTCACAAGCTGTATTCACGGCAGCAGCAAAAGAAAGAATCAACTCCTTGGACATGAAAGCAGCTGGATACAGAATAAAGAGTACAAGTGGCACTCTGCCCAAGTTGCAGAGTTGTCAGCTGTCCGTGTAATGCGCCCTGCCTCGTTGGCAGGGCACAAACAGAGGATGAAAAAAAAAAGAAAAAACAAAGACAGCAAATAATGAAAGTAGCTAAGTTTCTGGGTAGATGCGTTCCTTGGAGTACCACTGTGAGCAAACCTCCTTCACGGCTTTCCCCGACTTCTTCCCTTTCAACTCTGCTGCTTCTTTCACTCTTTTTTTTTGTTTTGTTTTGCAAGCGGGCCCACAAGTCCCAAAACTAAAGGCTTGCTGACCCTCTGCGGGCCTCCAAAAACTTCAGAATTTTGGGAAAGCTGCCAGTTTTCCCAAATTTATTTTGCCTGGCGGAGGTACTGGTGGTTCGAAGTCTTAAGATTGAGGGACAATCCGAGCCATCGGCCTGGTAGGACTGCGTGAAAATCCGGACCGTCGGGCCAGTAGAAACCGCGGGCGTCCCAGATTGCACAATTCTCACGTTAGCGATTAGTGTAAGTGTGCATCCGTTAAAATTGGAATGATACAGAGAAGATTAGCATGGCCCCTGCGCAAGGATGACACATAAATCGAGAAATGTTCCAAAAAGACAAGTTGTGGGGATGGGTGTACCAACTCAACTAGGCCCGTCAGCACTTACAGTCCACCCTGCTGAGCTGGCAGGGCGGTTATCTCGGGAGAACAAAACAAAAAAAAGAAACATGGAGCCGCGCTCCCCTATGCAACACTACATGTATTTGGACGCTTTCGGGGAAAGGTGCACTCGGACGAGGCCAACATTTCGAATCTACTGGGTTTGCAGAACATAGGAAAGCATGCAGAGTGTTGTGTAGTCGCACATCATGATTCGAATGTCGCAAAGTGGTGCTGTCGCCTCATTGTGGGCCCAGCATCCCACCCCACCCAGACCTCCTCCATTCCTGATCACTGCAGATTTTGCATCCGCACTCTGGACGAGAAAAATCTACAGTGCAGGCAGGGCGTGGAGTGATGGTTTAAGAACGGCCCAGTGCCCAAGGTGGTTTACGAACGTACGCCCTGCCCACATCACATGCCCTTCTTCCCGCACGAGAATCCAGCTGTCAATCAGTTAAACCACCAGTACTCCACGTTTTTAGGCTGTTAGCGAGGTGGCTGAATCGGTGCACCGCGCAGGTCCATATGCACTTGCGTCAGAGCCTCCCCAGAGGGGGCCTGAGACCCCCTGGGGTACTGGTGGTTTAAACCCTCAGTTGCCATCTTACCTCAGGTGCCATCCATCGGTATGTCCCGGTTTCAGCAGTCATTATTCCATTATGAACCTTGATCCTTGCCACGCCAAAGTCAGCAATCTTGACCACCTGCACATGATGCAGTCCAAAGCATTCATGAAATCATGACGAACAACCGGAAAGGGGTTAGCAATTTTCAAGTGTAGCACATTCATTCCATAGCAAGCACTATTCTATTACAAATTTGAAATTTACGAGACATTATCCTTGCGACACCAAAGCCAGCAATTTTTTTGACCACTCCCATGTGACGCATTCCAAAGCACTCCTCGAAACAATGACGAAGAATACTGAGGAGGAGGARGGGGGGGGGGGGGGGGGGGGGGGGGGGAAGAYCCCGCCTGTCCGACACCAACATATACTTCTTAAATGACTGCTACATGCCCCTCGCAAAATGAATAGCTGGGCAATTTGGGCAGATATATTTCCCGTGACTTTTAGGGGTCGGTGCTACCGAACTGAAATGGCTGGCGCCACCACCCAAAAAGAAAAAGGAAATTTGGCCTGCATCGGTTCGTTTTTCATTTGGCATGCAGTGCAATTGGGGTGGTGAAAAACAGCCTTGTACGCAGTGGTGGTTTACGAAGTCGTGGAAACTAGCCAGAATTGAGACGGTCAAAAGTATAACACACAATATGAAAATAGTTAGCACGAAGCTAGGAGCAGCACAATGCTAAGGAAGAATTTACTGCCTGACTTCCACCAACACCTACTCCTTAACAAGACCTATCGCTGCCACAACTCTGACCAGAGAATTGAAAAACAGCTCTGCAAGGGTTCCCAGAGCATACACTGAGCCTCTTTCCAGTACACACTGTACACAGCACTCTACATGCATTTGGACACTCCCTGGGCCCGATTCATTCAAAATGTTCGACTTGTCGGAATGCACGTAGTCAAGACAGCGTCCAAATGCATGTAGACTGTTGTAGTGGGGCGTGGCCCATAAGGAAGAAGGGAGAGCATCAACATCATGTGGCCTTGTACCTCCTCATCAAATTGACGTTGCCACCAAGGCAGCTGTACAGGGAATAACCTCAACCCTACGAAAAGGTAGTAGCAACGTAAAAAACATATTTGGCATATAAGGTTCAGACCAAAACGCCCAACACAAGGTTTTACAAAAGATTTCAGAACTCGCACCTTTGCATTGGCATTGGCATTGGCATTCATAACAGCCTTCAACACCAATCCACATTGAGCGCACAGCTTGACATCAATGCCAATGGGGGGTGTCTGTTTCGGGAAAAACAAAACGCTTCTATATTATCGAATGGAAACTGGGTCCAGGGTTTTCATCCATGGCTACCTACAGATCCACACTTAACCCATCCTGATACCGGACACCAGACGGTCTGGAGTGCAGTCCAGATCTGTTCCACACCAGGGTGTGAGCTGAAACAATATTCTTATTTTTGTTCTTGATTTTGGTTTCAAATTTTGACACGACGTTTGCCCAAACGGTGATTCTACTACAATGCTGCACAGCATAGTTTCCTCTCCGTAAGTTTTAGAATGTTTTTGGGAACTCGGTCTACATTTTCAGCGCTGGGAGTTCACAGAAAAAGTGGTAAAAGACAAACAGCAATGCAATCCAACAAATCCAGCAAAACTCCAACAAACTGGTAAACGACAGCTGAAATAATGTACCAGCAACCGCCCAGGGAGTGCAATGGATAAGCATCCCCGCTGCTCATAAACTGGGGAAGGATAGACTCAGAATAACAATGTAGACGAACATGGTGAAAACCTCATGCTACAGACTTTCTCCCCGTACTCCACTCGGTCTACAATGATAAACAATTTTGAAGCTGGCAGGTGCGAGCATGGCTTTCCAAGGACCACTGCCCCCACCAGAAGCTGATCTACAATTTTGAAGCTGGGAGTTCACAGAAAAGTGGTGAAGACCATCCACCATGCAATCCAATGAATGCGACGAAACTCCAAGAAAGTGGTAAAAGACAGCAGAAAGAATCCGCCGGCAAGTGCCTGGAGAGTGCAATGGATATACATCCCTACTGCTTATAAACTGGGGACTCGTGGGGAGGAATGAGCATGATGCAGGGATCCTTTACCCACCTCGTTCTCGTCCAGAAGCAGGTTTGCTGCTTTCAGATCTCTATGGACTATGTTATTCTGATGGAGGTAATCCATTCCTCTTGCGACATCAATCCCGATCTTGAGAATCAAGGGCAGCCGAAGCGCGACCTTGTGCTTTCGGAGGTAATCGTACACACTGCCCCCGGACATGTACTCTGCAAACACCGCAGCCCCGAAGGGCCCAAAGACAAAAACATCATGTTCCACAGACTGCTCAAACTTGCTCATTAACTCACTCCCAATCCAGACGTTTCCGCAAAAATGCAACATCGCCAAAAAATTTTGCAGACCGACTCCCCATTGCAAACACAGGTCAGTGCGGCAGAAGATACATTTGTGCAAACGGCTGACTGAAAACCTCAAAGTTGGCTGTAATGGTCGCCAGGCTCTGCTTTCCTAGCTTTCCTAGCATGTACATTGTGCCAGTAGCACCTGACACCTCTGGTCATAAGGTGCCAGGCCAATTGGTTGGTGTTCCTGTGATACAGGCAAGGCCATAAAGGGGATGTATGTAAAATACGTGCGCATGAAGATAACGCGACAAATTGTATTACACAATGATACACACAGAATTCTTATACAGGTCACATCTGGGAAATTTTCGTATTTTTTAAACAAATATTATCCTTTTGACTTGCCGGTGGAGTAGGAACCGGACGGATGCTCCCCAGATTGGAAAAGGAGCCGGGGCCATAAGGTCCAGTTTTGTGAAAAAAAAAAAAAAAAAAAAAAAAAAAATTAACCACCACTAGCGCAGACCCTAGCATGTCAAGCCTACACTTTTCCGCTCCCGAATGAATCAAAACGGGTCGCCACCATGCTGGCACATCGAAAAGCACACCCCCGACCTATATGGCTGCAAGTTTCAGTAGAAGGATTCCTGTAGTGGTCGCTCAAGTAAAAAAGCAAACATAAACCTGTTTTTTTTTTGTAAACTTGGGTGCTACCGGCGCCAAATTGTTTGGACATCATTGAACACACCGGGTACTTCATGGCGGGATAGAAGAAGGGATAGCGAGGTGATTATACCTGCACATTTCTACCCCGTGCTTCTAGTTCCTTTGCTGCTTTTCTCAAGACTGCACTAGTCAACCTATAATGCGAAATGTGTGAATCAGAAATTACTAACTTTACAAGAACAAATTGACAACCGATCGGCAGAAGTCTCAGAAGAACCACACGCACCTGCAGCAATTCCTTTTTTTATTTACTTTTGTAGCACCAGAATTGAGACTCCCGGCCAGCATGGGAGATCCTGCAAACGCGATTTGGTTTGGAGGGAGAGAAGCCGAGGTAGCCCCCCCCTCTTGTGTATGTCGCTGGATCCACAAGGGTAACTGGTACCTGGTCTGATTGTCCAATTCCTTGTTTGTTGGTGTTTCTTTTCTTTTTGTAAACATGCTTGCCGGTGATGAGCAACAGGACTGACACCCCCCAGAATAGAAGGGGCATGAGTGTTTTGGGGGTTGAGGGGGGGGGGAAGGGTGGAGGAAATGAGACTGCAGCAGTCAAGAATTCAAAAAATTCAACAGCAGCACCCACCTGTGGCAAATCCCAAGGTCAGATTTGAGACTGAAGCCGTGAAGAATTCGGAGATCCAACATTTGACTAACCTGTAACAATTGCGAGGTTCGGTGGTTTTGTGCAGGCCCCAATGAACTGCACGACATTCTTGTGCCTTACTTTCCTGCATACACGGTCGAGAGCCAGACGCGCATGACATGTTACCGATAGTGTAATTAGTAATCTGGACCAGTGTATGGACCGGTCTGGACTGTCCGGTGATCCGGACATCACCGGACCCGGACAGTCCGGACTGGTGTCAGGGGGTAGGAAATGTCCGGGGAAAAGGGAAAAAAAAAAAAGAAAAGAACTGTAGAGGGGTGGGGTGGGGGGGGGGGGGTTGGCAGACACTTACCTGCTTTGCACTTTGTAGTTCAGGCAGCAGAGCACCTGTCTTGCAAGCACATTCAACTAGCAGGCATGCAGTGTTGCAAACAGTGCAAAAGCAAGGCACAAGACTAAAGAAACAGAGAAAAAAGAATTGAAAAAGAATATGATCAACTTTGAAGTTCGAACTTTGAATTAAGTAATTTACTAATTTACGTTCATAACTTCATATATAACTTAAAAGTTCAAACTTTGCAGTTACAATTCAGGACGTCAGAGTCTTCGGACTGCCAGCACTGTCAGTGCTCTCTCTCTCTCTCTCTCTCTCTCTCTCTCTCTCTCTCTCTCTCTCTCTCTCTCTCTCTCTCTCTCTCTCTTGGCAATGGGC